AATTCGTACACAAATGTCTACAGAAGAGAGAAGAAGCATGTACAACTTATATAGATAGATATAGATAGAACATAGCATATTTTGCCTGATCCTTATTTGTAACTAATTAAGTAGTGCATTTAGCCCTACTGTGGCATTAATATGTAATAAACTTCATTGTCATTGTTAGTGTATAGGAACATGTTCCAGCTCCTTTACAAACTATGACTTTTGCAAGTAGACTGCTTTCTCCTTAGTCATCCCTATCGCATAAACATAATTATGCCCTTTCATCGCTTAAGTACAATTAATGTCTTTATGTCGATTGTGGATGGATCAGTCTTTTCACAGTCAGTGGGTGCATATGCACAGAAAGTGCTAGCTCCTGATTGACAAAAGTTGGAAAACAAGACGGTGCTGTTCACAGGGGATTCTCTCTCCCGAAGGACTACTCGGGTCCCTAGGATACTTCGCTGAGTCGCAAGTTTATGATCTGTGGAAGCGAGATCCGCGAAATCCCGCTTCTGGTATCTTTTTCGAATCTGCAGAACCATCATCATCCGTGAGATTCCGCTTCTGGCATCTATTTCAGATCTGCGGTATCCAATTCAGAGATCCGCAAAATTCCGCTACTGATATCTCTTTTAGATATGGGGAAGCGAGATCTGTGAAATCCCGCTTCTGGGATCTTTTTCGGATTTGTCGAAACGAGATCAGCGAAATTTCGCTTTTGGTATCCTTTTCGGATTTACAGAACCGCGATCGGTGAAATTCCGCTTCTGCTAACTTTTTCCGGTCTGCAAGACTTGGAATCCATAGCGGCAGTGACAAGTACGAAATTTCCGAGATCCGCACAGATTCCCGTTTCTGATATCTCTGTCGGATTTGTGGAAGCGAGATCCGTGAAATCAGAGTCTGGTATCTTCTTCGGATCTGCAGAACCGTGATCCTTGAAATCCAGCTTCCGGTATCTTTTTTCGGATCTACGGAACCGTGATCCGTAAAATTCTGCTTTCGGTACCTTTTTCGGATCTGTGGGACTAGGAATCCATAGCAGTACGAAATTCTGAGATCCGCAAAATCCCGTTGCTGCATATCACTTTCGGATTTGTGGAAGCGAGATCTGCGAAATCCCGCTTCTGGTATCTTGTTCAGATCTGCGGAAGTGCGATTCGCGAAATCCCGCTTCTGTTATTTTGTTCGGAATCTGCGGGAGAGTCCAAAGCAGCAGTGCCCTGTGGGTTATTTTAGAATCCGTCAAATTCCCGGCATCCGGATTTGCTGAAATCCGTGGTAGTACATATGACGCCATGATGGGTATTTATTGTATCTGTCAGGATCCGAGGCAACTCCAGACTCCCCCAAAAAACGAACTTATAACATATCCGAGAAAGAAGGTTCCTTGCGAATATCAAATTTGTATCTGTGATTTCTTAAAGATCCGGACGTATACGGTGCCGGAATTGTCGGATCTGCAGTGCTACTTCGTATTCGAGCAAGGATTGCGGATTTCTCCGGATTTGCTACGTATCCGTCATGATGCACGATTTCGGATCTTCAGGATTTGCTATAATCCGAGGCCATTTCGTGCAGTGTGAGGACACGTCTGGCTTCCTGCATTCGGCATCAATATATTGCGCTATGTACAACAATTTGTCCAAGAACAGCGGAATAGCTTGCTTTGGGCTCACTAGAGCTTTTGCTTGGTTTTCCTTAATTACCTTCAAGTACCTCCTGACCGAGTGATGGTTAGTTGGACTACCCCCTCCGCCCAACGGCTCTTCCCATTCCCTCTGTCTTCCTCTCTCCTCATAACTGCTTTTTAACTTCGAGACAATAGCCGCCGCGGATGCCGAAGCCAACTTTACTGGGCAACCGCACGTGCAAATACCATTTCGCCCTAGGTTACCGCACAAACTATGATGAACTTGGGTCTTCCCATGCCTGTTTTTGAATACCAAAAACCGAAGGACATCGTTTGGGGTGGCCAGTGTAGGGCTGATTTGAGAAGGAAGAGTGGATAGGAAGCTCTCAAACTCTCTCCACGTGGCTATCTTTTGCCTCTCAAAGGACGTTAGTTGTTGCAGGACTTCCTGTATTTCCCTATCTATCTCCTCTATATCTACCAGCATGCCGCCTTGCGAAGTGGAACCGCTCATCTCTGGCAACTGACTGATCCCTTTCTGTAACAAGACGTAAACAATTCGATCATACTTAGGGTTATTTTAATACACGTAGAAGTAATACTTTCTGTCAATAATGTACCTTCCAGGTCGCTAGCTGTCTATCCTGACCGCCCATAGATCCCATTGTAACTCTTTTGGGATGTATCCTTGCTTTGACGGGACCAAAATGATTCCGCTATTGCCTTTCTCTCCCAATCGTACTTTCCTGCTAGCCCTGGCATTCACTACCGCCCACCAATATGGCTTCGGGTGCAACTCTGGTACTACCATTGTGTAAGGGGCCTTCCTGTTCCCCAGATGCCCTAGCACTGCCCCTATCGCTACGAACGGGGGAAAGATGTACCCATTCTCCCCCTCCTCTGGTTTTTGATTGAAAAAATCTACGCCCTCTGCGTTCGGGGACGGTGTGGGAGAAATGAAACGGGCGGTCTTCGCGTTTGACCTTATGGCCATCCAATCTATCGTATGGGGGCCGAAAGCCCTCTCTACCGTTGCCCACGCGGTCGTGGACAGCGTTGCGTCTAGTGGTGACAGCCGTCTAGAGGGGGAGTCCGCGCAGTTATCTTTGGACGGGACGTACGTCATCACGATCTTGGCATTCCGCTGCCTGGCTGTCTCGAAGATTCCCTTCAAAATCCTAACTAAAACCAGGTCTTTGCCCCCTTCCCCTTCCCAGGCCTTCTCTACCGCTTGGTTGTCCGTTTGCAGAATTACCCTAGCGTTCTCAATGATACTACCCGCCGCTATCAGGGTGAGGGCGATCGCCTTTGCCTCTTTTACGTGAATTGGTGCCTGGAGGTCATCTGCTGTCCAATAATCTTGAACCGTTAAGGCTTGGGACCCCGGGGGCTTTATCACGCCTGCCCACGCGTAGCTAGAGGCATCTGTAGTAACCTGCACTATAATGTGTTTTTCCTCTACCCACGGGAAAACCTTGTCCTGGTCATCCACCACTCGCCAGTGGATGACCTCCTCCCTTAATTCCTTCGTTATTACTACTGTGCTCCCTGATACCAAAGCCCTGCCTATGGCCCTACACGCCTCCCTAGTGAACAGTTTTGCCATTGGTATCACTAGAGAAAAGGCCACACATTTCCCTACGAATCTTTGTAACGTACGAACGTCCACTTCTCCCTGCTCCGCGATATACTCTCTAAGGGTACCAAACTTCTGGATTTTGTCTCCTGGAATGCCCAAACCCAGAGGCACTGACCACACTAACATACCCAGGAATTTCACTACCTTCGCAGGGATCAGCACCGACTTCTTGAGCTCCAGGAAATAACCCAGGTCTATCAGGACTTTGCATAATATATACGCCCCTAACTGTGCCTTCTGAAGTTCTACCGCATCCTGTGTTTCTGGGCTTACCTGTTTCTGACTAACCGGAAGAGATGGGGCTGCATGCTCCTGGTTAACCGCTAGGGGCGGAGCTGCGTTCTCTTGCCTTGTCGCTAGGTGAGGTCCCGCATGCCTATCATCGATATACTGTGACACTGGCACCCCTAAAGATATCATATACGAAGTGGCCAACTTTCCTGTCGTGTTATACAGAAAAGCACTATTTCTGTAGCCAAAAGGTAACGACGCCCATAGCAGAAACCATCCCCCCCATTCTACGCCTAAGTATGTCCTACACTCTTTCTTGATCATGATATGGTCGTACCCCGACTTATCGTCGCACACCACTTGATACGCCCCTGGATAAACGTATCTCATCACATCTGAGAGCTTATCTAGCTTAAAAGGGATGTGTCGTGTCCACAGGTTGAGAAATCGTTCGTCATGACACAGACGCGGCTTTGTGGGCTCCACTACTAACGGCATTGTAAGGTATGGGGGGTCTACCTCGCCCACTCTTCCTAACACCTCCAGCGCCCCTGTCCGTATCCTGTCTTCTAAGGTGCGGCTTATAAACTCTGCGAAGGATCTATTCGACGGATAGTTCGGGAAATAAATCGAAGGGGGAGACGTGGAGGAGTAGTGTATACCCTTGAATTTACCTTTGAAAGGCTGCCAAAACTCCGCCAAGTCTACCCCTTCCCTTAACCAGTGCAATACCTGCTGCCCCCACGCTCCCTGATGTTGGGCTAACTCTTCCCAGTAACTTAAATTCCTATGAAGTTCACCCGCTCGGAAGGTTTTTGGATCCCGAAACTGCAGCTGCGTCGTTGTTGCCCTCACCGTGCCTGTTGCCAGCTCTTGCACTGCCGGCAGGGGTCCGTATGGAGCGGGGCCTGCCCCAGACCAATCTACCCACCGTACAGCCGACACACGCTCTTCCAAGGCCTTCAGTGGATTGAAGGGCACCTGCTTCTCCCAAGCCGGGATGTTGATGGAGGACTTGATGGTAGGGTTCCTTACGCACTTCAGACGCTAAAATATTACACAACGTTTTAATTTTAATCAAACCTCCAGTATAGTCCCGGCTATCTGGTAAGTAAGCATAAAAGGATTACATAACTCTAGAATTATCACGTTAAACAAATGGTTATTGACTGCCGTCCAAATGTCGGCTACTTTAACTAAATTTTGGTCTGGAGAGGCCCTCGCTCGCTTCCCGGGCCACCAGCCGAAGCTATATGGTGGCGGCAAACCCTGGGGAAAGCACGCACGGTCCACGAGTTAGGGCTTAGCCAGCCTAAATTGCCAGGAACTAGGTAGCAACTCTAAAAACTGTAAAAAGACAAAGACTCCAACATACTGCTCAGTGCTTTAATGAGTCACTTTAACCAATATGATTTCCACAACAGATAAATAGTCATTCTCTTATCTCTGTCTTTACATATCACGTACTACAGATACAACTCTTCTACTAACAGTTTTTTTTTTTTTTAATACACAATTCTCATCCGAATTCCATGTCGTTCCGGTCCATCGTCGGCTACACAGCGTTTTACTCTTTACTCTCAGTGTTGTCGGGACAGTCCCTGGCCCAGTGGCCCTGTAACAGACACTTAGCGCATTGGTTTTTCCCTAATTTTCCCCAATGTCCCTTCACACTTCTATCTTTACTGGGACCAGGATAGCGGGTCTTGACCGAAGCTGAGGCACTCTTAGCACCAACATCCTTCACTGCCTTCCAGGATTTTATGAAGGCGGAAACTTTAGACGCCGCCTGAGCCTTCACAGCAGAGCCGAAGAGTCGTCTAACCAATGGCTCGAAAAAGGGCTTCGATTTTTCCGTGACCAACTCTTCTGCGAAGGCCTCAAACTCCTCAGCTCGCTCATGACCCTCTCTCCTCGCTACCGAGACCAGATTGTCTACCAAGGCCATGGCATGGTTGGGCGCGAAAGTTGCATCGTGGTGAGTGGCGCAGTAGATATTGAGTTCGTTGAGAAGGGATTCTGTCGAGACTTTCTTCTCCCTCATTGCCTGGACCTCTTGTTTGAGCTCGTCCAACTGTCTCTTCAGCTCCTGTGACAGAACAAATCCATTTCAGCCCACATGCACACACTGTGGTCTATACGTTGCATTATCCTCCCAAATAGGTACTCTATTCACTACGCCTACGAAATGGGCACCGCCCAAAATACGATCAAAGCACAGGTCAAACCCTGCAATCAGGCCGGTCACTTATGCCCAATCCTTCAAATTCACTCGACCTTGCTATCATCCCCACGTCAGGGGGTGATGAAAAACTAAAGGCACCGAAAAATAGAGAAAAACAAAACACGAACGCACCCGAAAAAACTGACGATCAAATTTACCCAACCAAAAAGGAAAATTAAAGAAAAGAGAAAAAACAAAACAAAACAAAAAAAAAACCATCGTCTTAAAACCCGACAAACCCAACCAAGGGGAAAACGGAAAACCAGAGTAAAATTTAAAAAAAAAACACCGTAAAATTCTAGCCGAAGCGCCCGTGAGAAACCGTCGACTTAGGGGTAAATTTTGGTTAAAACAATAAAATTCTACACCCCTAGTCTGTGAAGCAAAATTCCGCAACAAACTATAAAAGGACGAGGCCACGTCTACAAACGTAACCAACTCCACGGGAAAAACCCATCCTCTCTCTGTGTACGGACCGGTGATCGCTAAAAACCGATGGAAAACCGTCTTTCTACCGATAAATGTACCACCATTTTCTCACCTTAGAATGCTCGACACCTCTTTCCCAATCCTCTAGGGGGAACGACACATCCGATAATCTCATCTTCATCGACCAAATCGAAATTGTTACTCCAACACAGAAGATACCAAACAAAACACAGACCGTCCCACGGTCTTTCACCAAAAGTAGAGACTGTCCCACAGACTCTAACCTACCCACATGGTATCGTAAACTGTCCTACAGTTTCTCGCTCCCAGATTGTCCGACAATCTCCAAACAAAAACTGTCCAACAGTTTCTCTCGTCCTTCCTGGTTGTCTAATAACCTGCCCGGCAAATCCCTAGACTGTCCAACAATCTAGCAAAACGCACCTCCTCGCTGCCAAGAACACAATCACAAATTCCAACAACCCGACGTAAAACCGACGGCGCATTAACATACCTCCGTAGCAAATACGACCGAAAATGTACCCTCGTGATTCTGAGAAAATCCTATCACACAAACAAACCAAATCAAAAACGGAGGCAAATACTCGTACCTGCGGCGTTTCCGCGCCCTGAGCAGGGACCTCTGAGGCGGAGGCTGAGCTGGTCCCTGGGACCGCAGTCGTCGCGGCCGAGGTGGTAGCGGTCACTGTCCCCGACGCTTTCGGCATGGGGTATTTCCCCTTCCCGCCCCCTGTGGTCGCCGTCACGGTGGTTGTCGTGGCACCCTTGGAGTTGGACCCACCCGGCACGGCCACCTGAGCGGTCGTCACCGTTGTCGCACCCGCCGCTGTAGTCGCTGCATAAACAGAAACAAACCAAACTAGAGTTCCACGATCTCATACCTTCGCCAAATGATGTTAGCCTTTATGAATAAGAAATATACTAATCACCCTGATTATGCAAATAGGATCCTCAATTGCATGAATTATATCAGTCTGTTGATCATATTCTCCACCAAAAGACAGTCTTATCTTAACAAAGAAAGCCATTTTCTCATATATTATGCAAATGTGGTCCTTATTTGAATAAGTTATGTTTAATTATGTTCACCTTCACTTAACTTTCAAACACCCCAAGTATGAAATTCCAGGCAGTTACCACTACGCAATTATAACATTTTCTCATTAATTATGCAAATTAAGTCTTCATTTGCATAATCAACATTTGCCTGTGTTTCTCTCGTTCTTAATAACATATGTTACAAGCTTGAACTTCCTATCATGGAATGCAACTGATTTATAGAATTTCCTCATTAATTATGCAAATTACATCAATATTCGCATAATTGTAATATCATTATGTCAAGCATCACTTAAGCTACCTACATACCAAAAATCACGATGATCCATCAATCGGTTCTTGAGTTATCCTCTTTTAAACATTTGTCCTTTAAACCCCCCTGCAGTTCTAGAGCAAGCCGCTAGGGGGCCTTAACTCACATCACTTCTTCCCCAGCACAAGAGCTACCTACCATCCAAATTTCATCACCATAGCATGTCTGGATCTTGAGATATCAAAACCGGAAGTTCAGCTGCAGTACCATAACAAGCCGCTAGGGGGTCCAAAATCTAATCATTTTGAGGACTCATCAAGACCTACCCATCTACCAAGTATCAAGACAATCCATCAAGGCCTTCTCAAGTTATCGTGTTGACAGACAGACAGACACACACACACACACACACATACACGAACGCCCCTGAAAACATAACCTTCTTGGCGAAGGTAATTACCACCAGATAAAGGTAAAACCAAAAGGGCCCTCGTCACAGAAACAAGCGCGCACATGTTCAGATAAGAAACGAGAGCGCACATGTTCCGGTTTTGGAAGCCCAAATGCCACAGTGCTAAAAGTTTCCTTACTCCCCCTTATTAACCTATTTTCCCGAGCCCCTATCGTCAACAGTACCTCCTAAACCTGGTACAGTAGGAACCTACTCTCCAAGCAGAGGTTGGTGGGGGAAGATCGTCACCGTTTTATATATGCCTCGTTTTTTTTGTCGCCCCCCACCCAACCTCTGCCCCGAGTCGCAACCTGAAAGGCTATTAACAGCTATTTGTTACCCTATCAAACCTCACTTAACAAGTAGTGGCGACTTCACTTGGCGCGTAGGTGTGAATTACGCCCTCCCGGCCAGGGAAACCAAAATTCCAACTTCCGGCTGGCGACACGGCCTGGCGATTTTCCGTTACTCGCCTGTTTCCGTTCAACTCAGTTTGAATGTCTAACGGACGGGACCGACATGGAAGACAGAGTCAAGCGTGTTTTCAAAGACGTCTGGGGGTTTGAGGTCCGTCCCGACCAGCTGAAAGCCGTTTTGGCGGCCTTAGGGGGCAAGGATGTTTTCGTTGGGATGGCGACAGGGAAGGGGAAGTCCCTCTGTTTTCAGAGCATCCCCCTTTGCCTAACAGAACCCAAACTTGTTGTGGTTGTTTCGCCGCTGCGTGCCCTCGTCCACTATCCTAGCTTCCAACGCCATGGGTGCCTCGTTCATTCACCATACAGGACGGGCTCACAAAATTCACATGGCAAATCAGAAACTTTCCGGAATAAGAAAAATATTCGCGGGAGTTTGTCCTGGTAAACAAGTATGGCGCGAACAGAAAGATAGAATGCACCGCATCCAAACATAAAGGTAAGAATGAAATAATGACCAGAAACACTTAAAATCTATGAATATACGTAACGGTAAAATAGAATATAGAATATTTTAATATACTTTGAAGAACAAATTCATATTTTATTGTGTTGATTTTGAACCTCTATATAATAATTATAAACGTAAACATGTTTACTCTGCTACGTTGTGATGCTGTTCGGTCAGATGGAGACATGCTAATGAGATATGCGTGGTTGACTGGATTCGTCCCGCAGCGCGCTGGACACCCTTGTAAAACTATT